TTCTTCAAAATTGAACTGAGCTAAAGAAACTGCCTGAGTGCAGCTGCAGGAGTGTCATGTAACCTGCAGAATGTGGTTGGTTTTCAGCAGCACCTTCAGCAATTCATTAAGTCATCCTCCCAGTGATGGGTAGAAAAGACAACAAAATGGCTAAAATGTCTTCTTGGTAGTGACGAGTGAGATTTTTCAGAGCCAAGGAGGGTTTTCACCAGGCACATACTGTCTTGGCAACTAAAAACACAGCCCCTGGATCCTGGCAGCTTTGTTTTTTGTTAGAGGTTGGTCAGGAGGTGGTACCAGTGCCCCACATCTAGTAATAAACCAAGGCAGTGTCATCCTGGGTGCCAAAATCAGGGGGTGCATGTGAGGAACAGTCAGGTTCAACCTGCTATTAAATGTGACTCTGTGCCCTTTTGAAATCCCCTGAACAGCTCTGGTGGACACTGAAACAGGAAACTGAGCAAATTTCTGGCAAAAGAAGCATGGCCTGACAAAGTCTGTGACATCTTAGACAAGTTTAGGAAACAGTTTATCCAGATTTGAGTTACCCTGGCTTGGCCTTGCTCTGGGCTGGTAGAGAAGATGTGTATTTTGATGATGATTGTGTTAACAGGGGGCACTGTCTGGTCTAGGGGGAGGCACACACAATCCTGAGGAGGGAAAGAGGAGGAGCCAGTTTGGATGAGCAGCCAGCCAGTCATACCTAGGCATGCTCTGGATGTGCCGAGGAGTTCATCAATTGACCAACCCCAATAAGCAAGGTTGAATTATTTACAGCATATTAACACTGTTGACACATGCAAGAAGCACTAAGAAACTGCAGTAAAGAAAACACTGAAAAGACCTAGTGCTTATTGATGAGTGGAAGCGTGGGATCTGTTTTCAATAATCTGAGTGACAGCCAAGGGAATAGTGAATGACTTCTTAAAAAGTCATTTCCAGATTTACAGCACTCATTTCTACAGTGCAACATCACTTGTAAAGGAAGCACGACCACTCTGGGACATCAGGAAGCTTTTCCCTGGCACAGTGATAAAGAAGTTAAAGGCAGCAGCTCTCAGGGCTGATGGGTGGTGGTGAGGGATCCAGGTGGAGCAAGTGAAATACAGCCTGTAACATGCTGATACCCCCAGCAGTTTATTCATCCACATCTGGCTTGGCCAGACATTGGCAATGGGATTGAAAAATACCAGAAAGGCATGCTGCCTGTAACATAAATTATAAAAATCAAGATGAAGATCTGACAAGAAAGATGATAGATTTTGATGCTGTTTTTCTAATTAGAGCAGTCCTTAAAATAGGGCATAAATACGTTGTGCATAATAACTCCAGAACGTGAAGTACATGTTTACCAATGCTCTGCACTGATGAAATTTAACTTAAATTCTGTTCTGTCTCTGTCTTGTCTGGAACAGTTGATCGGGATGCTGCTGGCATGCTGTCTGTCCCGGTTTATTACTGCTAACCAGTATGAGATGGTGTAACAAGGTGAGCTTTTCCCCTTTCCCAGGCGGTCAGACTGTGAAAGCCTTGCTGTGGTGTTGTGGCTGTGCTGCTTCTGCTGGAGACAGCGGGCAGGTTTTACATTCTGGGCGTGTTCATTAAGAGTTAAGCCTTCCCATTAAGCCTTCTTTGCTTTGGGATTTTCATCCCGATTTTGTGTGTGGTGGGGAAAGAATTAAAGGGGGGGAAATGCAGCGTTGAATTTCGTCATTTCAGTTTTCTTGGAAAGAGAGAGCAGAGCACCTGCTGTTCATACTGTTAGCAACCAAAGCAACCCACTCCTTGGTTTGTTGTTTGTTCTTGTTTTTTATCCTCCCTGCTCTCCAGTCTTTCAACAAGTGTGAAGTCCAGAGCCTGTGTGAAGACCAGGAGCTGCAGAATCGGAGAAAGACTGACATGAATGTTCTAGCACACACTGTCTCTCGCACGCACGCACACCCCACGAGCAAGCCCGTGTGCGCGCACACTGCACCCCACCTCCCGAACTGTCCCATGCGTAGTGTCCCATCCTGTGAAGTTCCACGGTGCCACCCAGAGTGGCCGGGTCCCCTCGGCCCCCGGAGCCAGCGCCCACCGCCGCGGCTCGGCGCAGGACGGCACCGTCTGTATGTTCTTGGTCACGCAGTAGTTGCATCGTAAGTTAACA